GTTCAGCAGTTACTGCTGCAAAGATGTGCCACAAAAGTCAGGAGGAAGGAGCAGCAAAGGCCCAGCTATGGCATAGTTAACAACATTTAACATTTGTCTCCCCATAGAAGTTTCCTCACATGGGCACAAGTTCGAGCTGGTAGCACTGTAGGTACTGCTGTAGCTACTGAAGGAATAAACCCAGGAAATGTATGTAGCAGCACTTGCACATCGTTATCTCAGTTGCTTCACTGAGACTTTGCACTGCACAGCTGGGAAGCCTAGAAGACATGGAAGTACCCATCTCACTGTGGTGAAGAACTGATTTACAAGCCCTGAAAGCACCCAGTTGGTCCAAATCATAAAATTAATATTGAATATCAGAATATAGAGTATCCAGGGGCTTTACGGAAGACTTACAGACCTCCTAGGCTTAAGAAATTTGCTCTAGGAGCTGCCAGAGCAGCTTTCAAGAGACCAGGCAGGCTTCCATTAAAATCCATCCAGCCCATGGAAAGATGACACATTTCTACAAATAAGGTTTTATTCAAAAATCATAATTTTCCAACAAAAACTTGTCATTCCCTCCTTCAAAAAAAAAGAAGTCTCCGTCTAACAAAATGAACAAGCTTACATTGGTGGTTTGAACTAAGTAACAGCCCATAGGGAAGGAAAGCCATACTCAAAGGCAAGAAAACACTGGACTTCAAGAAATGCAACAGGCCGGGAAGAATGGAGAAAGCATCCAGGGGTTGGTCAGATGTACACTTTTTCACTCACACGGACAGGAGTCTGAAGGAAGACTAGAGAAATACATTTCTATAATGTTGCTACACTTTCAGCTCAGAATTACTCTTCTGATTCTGTACTGTAAAATTGCAAGGATTACATGCAAGACATGTTCATTTTTTGTTTTAGTATGTCCTTAAAAGCACAGTCTTTGTTTAGAGACCCATTTTCATTTAAGGAAAAATGACCAAGAGCTGTGAACTGCAAGGGGAGCTAGAGGCAGTTCAAAACCCTGGTGTAAAGCCATGTATTGAGAACACAACCATGGTCAAACCATTCATTTTGGGAGCCAGCATTAGCCAAAATGAACAGCATATTACCACACAAAGAAGACCTGTTGCCCCCACTCTTTCCAACCACTTCCTGCCCCATTTCTTTTCCTGCCCTTCTGAGATTTTGGTCTTTTTGCATGCATGTTGCCCCGTACGATTCTGTTGGACTGGGTTGGGTGAAGTCCAGTGAACAGTGCAATTCTGCAGTAAACAAGCAGTTACACACACTTCGGAGTCTGCTTCAGCCGTAGGCTGACCACAGGTGCTGCCTTATTCCCAGGAAGAATCTGGTCTGCTTGCTGCTTTACAGAGCAACCCAAAACTTCAATAGTTCCTCAAAAGCCTGCTGAATCACACTGCAAGCACTGCTGACTGAAAGCAAGGGCATCTCGGGCATTCTCACCACAATGTGCCACTTGCTGTGCTCTGCACCGTCTTAAGCCCTTCACGGCTAGACAACGTTTTGTTTTCAGTTCCAGAAGCTGTGACAAAAGTCATAGCTAACAGCAACCCGGCAGCGCCCACCCTGGGAAGTTGCTCTTCACCGCTCCTGCCCACCGCATCTGCACTTGCAGGACAGGCCCCAGCTGAACAGCGCATCCACAGGACACTTCAACTGGAAAGCTGCCACCCTGCGTAAACCTTTATAAAGTCACAGTAAAAGAGCCTTTGCAAAGCGACGGTAACAGGCCACACGTGAGAAGACGAGCCCCGAGGCAGACCCAGCCTGGCGGCTGAGGCTCGGCCTGCTCCCAGGAAGACACAGCGGCGCTGTGGTAA